ATTATTTGCGCATAACCAGAGAGCTAGACGTTACAAGCAGCACAACAAAAATTATATGTGTAAAAACTATGCAAAGAACATAAAGCAAATTTCATTTGCAATCATATATGTGTATGAATGAACGTGAACATTTTGATAATATGACTATAAATAAATATTTATGTGCACCATTCCTTCTTAAAGCTGGACTGCACTGCATCTGAGCACCACAAGGCAAAAATGGTATTTAATTCATTTTTAATATTCAAAGCAAACTCCTCCATCCATCCATGTCTCCATGCTTTATTTTTTTCTGAGAAATCACTTTGAAAAACACCCCAACTAGCATTTCTGGCCATGACCATCTTGAGTAAGGGCAGATAATTCATGTAGTATTGACTTCCTGGAATCCATCCGCTCTTAGTTCAGGCATACAAGCAGGAGGGCGTGCTTAGCTGAGAAAAAACCTCCCCCCTTCAGAAGACTCCTGGGACATATGACATCAGTTGCCTAGGCAAGAAACCAGGAAGTAACTGAAGACACATTACAAAAAATAGTTTAAAACAAGTAAATATTATATACATTCCTATCTATTTACTAATGCTAGCTTCATAAGGATTAAAAATATTCAATGTTGATTGAGAGAGTGAAGTTCCGCTTTAAATCATAGTCCATACAACTGTATATCTCCACAATATTAATAATGCATGACACCACAAAAGTGCTCCATCACTGTGTCCACCACTTGTCACTGCTGCCTCTTACCTCAAAGACTGACCCACACAATGGTAAGGTCAGCCAGAGCTTTCCCAAATAGCAGGGTTACATCACTGCAGCAATCCTCTCAAAGAATATATGATAGGTCTTACTCCATTCTGCAGCTCAGGAACCGTCCTACTCAGCAGTAAAAATAAAAAACAGAAACCTTCATGGTGCAGTGTGATCCCACTAAAATGCTTTATTAAACAAAAAGTTAAAAGATTACTCACAAAATAAGTGCACTAAATCATCCAGTGCACTGCACAGGATCTTCTTTTTAAACAATGTTCATATTGCCCCCTTAAGCATAAACTTCTATGGAGAGGATATGTAAAGATGGCTAATCTTATACCTCTGTAAACATCACGGAGCTCCACCACTGATGCGTTTCGTCACGTGGTACATTGATTTCTTCATAGGGAAAACCCTTTTTTGGTCATGTTTATTCGTTTATATATATGATTGCAAATGAAATTTGCTTTATGTTCTTCATATATTATCATTTTTGTTGCGATGCACTTTTTATTTAAATATTTGAGAGGTGTGGGAACGCATATGAGTGCTTGGTGGCAACACATAGTTTCTTTTTGTTTATAATATATTTTGGGGGTTAGAGAGGTGGTTGTTTTTCATTTTTATATTCTAAGCACTACATTTAAGCTCTAAACTCTCTAGTCCTGGTTTGTTTATACACAGGTGTCCATACCATTTACTGCATTAACTGTCATCTACTTTAGGTCTTGATGACTGTATTGGGTTGGACCACCATAGAAAACAATTGACACCCGCAACATACTGCAATATGCATATGGGTTGCCATGTAGCAACATCCCTCAATTGAGAAAGTGAACTGAGCCAATCATCACAGTATGCACTTCTATTCCCGTTCTTTTGCCAGAGGTCAGAACCATCTGCAAATGCCCAGATGGAGAAGCTGTAGTATAAATAAAAGCCCTAAAGTGGTTTTCTAGACAAACCTCAGCATTAGCCAGCTTCTCCTCAGTGTATTTGGGCCTTTCATGTATTATATACTACTTACGAGCAACACGGCCCATCCCACTATTAATGCTCAAAGGGCTGAAGGTTGACCGCTTACAGCAGAGTTTCTCAACCATTTATAAGTCATAGCACCCTTGAAAATTATGCAGAATCCTGAGGCACCTCAGTCTGAATTGTAAAATATGCAAATGTTACTTATCCCCCAAATCAGCCCAACCTTCCCCCTCATCACACAGTCTCTCATCACAGAGTCCCCAATCCCACAGTCCACTCTTTACATCCGAGTCCTACCTTTTGGCTGCAGCAGTGTGGCAAAGGCCAGGAGGTGAAACAGGTCTGAGGGAGCCGGATTTTTGTCCTGTCCTGAATTCTGGAGGTGGCCCTGCATGCTGCCAGCCCTGGTTCAACATCATGAGCTGCCCTGGTGCAGCTGGGCTGAGTATTAATACCATAGCAATGAATGATGCTGTTCTTACTGCCCTAGAGTGTCATTGGTTGTTATGGTGCTAGTGGCCATCCTGCCTGCACCATGATGCTGATCCAGGGCAAACTGAGTCCCATGCTCTTGGCACCCTGGGGGAACCCAAATGGCACCCCATTTGAAATATACTGGTTCACAGTTTACTTGTAGTGGTATGTATTCATTTTGTAAAATGTGAAATGAAATATTACTACAAGCTTGTCTCCAGTACATCCATGACTTCTTTCTTCTAGTCCTCACTTCAGGATTATGGCTACAACAGCAAAAATAGACCAAACCTAACCTCAGTATATAAATCCTATATTAGATTTTTCACTGCACGGTGGAATACAAATATAAATAACTTGACTTAAGTTCACATTTGTGAGTTCATGCTAACATATAAGGAGTTTGGAGTTTATTAACACATTTTTATTATGATTTACCTTTTAGTATAGTAGAAAAGCAATCTGGAAAATGCTCTTAAAAATAAATCTGGAGGCAATGAGGTACAGTGATTGCTAGAAGATACACAAGGGTTGATTTACTAAAGGCAAATACACTCACCGGCCACTTTATTAGGTATACCTGTTCAATTGCTTGGTAACACAAATTGTGAATCAGGCAATCACATGGCAGCAATTCGTGGCATTTAGGCATCTAGATGCTAAGAAGATGACTTGCTGAAGTTCATCAGAATAGGGAAAAAAAGGGATTTAAGTGACTTTGAATGTGGCATTGTTGGTGCCAGACAAACTGGTCTGAGTATTTCAAAAACTGTTGATCTACTGGGATTCTCTCACACAACCATCTCTAGGGTTTACAGAGAATGGGTCTGAAAAAGAGAAAATATCCAGTGAGAAGCAATTGTGTGGACGAAAATGCCTTGTTGATGTCAGAGGAAAATGGGCAGACTGGTTTGAGATGATAGAAAGGCAGCAGTAACTCAAACAACCACTCGTTACAAGCAAGATATGCAATAATACCATCTCTGAACGCACAACATGTTGAGCCTTGAAGCAGATGGGCTACAGCAGCAGAAGACCACACCAGGTGCCACTCCTGTCATCTAAGAACAAGAAATGGCGGTTACAATTCGCACAGGCTCACCAAAATTGGACAATAGAAGATTGGAAAAATGTTGCCTGGTCTGATGAATCTCAATTTCAGCTGCAACATTCAGATAGAAAGGACAGAATTTGGTGTAAACAGCATTAAAGCATGGATCCATCCTGCCTTGTATCAACGGTTCATGGATGTGCAGCCGACAAATCTGCAGTAACTGCGTGATGCTATCATGTGAATATGGACCAACATCTCTGAGGAATGTTTCCAACACCTTGTTGGATCTATGCCATGAAGAACTAAGGCAGTTCTGAAGGTAAAAGAGGAACCAACCTGGTACTAGCAAGGTGTACCTAATAAAGTGAGTGTAGGCTGCTCACTTTGAGCCGGTGAGTGTAGGCTGCTCACTTTGCAAGTGAATTTGCTCCAGAACTTCGTAAATGAGGTGAAGTTCTGATGACCTCTGTCATACAATCATTTGTAAGCAAAAATTTGTTTTTTTTGTTTGTTTTTTATTTTCCTTGCACGCGATTGGGTATTCTTTGCAAAATGGAACTTCATTCACTAAGCTCTGGGGCAAATTCCTTTGCGGAGTGCAATTTCACTTGCAAAATGAATATCATTTTTACACTTAGTTAATAAACCTCAAGGTGTCTGATTAAATATCTGCAAACATAAGTATGATTTGCCTGCTTGTATATAGAGGTGAGTAGGGTACAGAGAGAATAGAACAGTAATATTTCTAAAAACAAGATCACAAGGTCAGCAGCAGGCAGTGGAGTTGAAATCTAATTTTACTGGTCCCTGTGAAATTTGGAGGTTGCCCCACAGAGGATACAGAAGCATTGTATTCTGTCTGGGAACCCACTTAAGATTTTAAATGCCAGTTTATACCTTTTTTGGTGCAATGGTTTTCTTCAAAAAGCTTTCATGGCACGTGTATTCCAAACAGATAAAGTTTGAGACATCAAAAAAAAAAGCAGTTTGCTGGATTAAAAATAATAAACCAACTCCACATTGTGCCCATTGTAAGTACTGATTTGTGTCGAATAAACTTTAGTGTCAGATCCCATGTGCTGCTTCAATCTGTCAAATATACAAAGCCTGGACTTAGGCTGTTCATTTGCATAAATGTAAGAGAAGTGATTATTTGGATTGTGCATGTAATGGTAACATTGGCTTGTATAGAATAAAATGTACATTGGTTTAAATCTGAACTCCAGGTATGATTTGTATTGCATGTTTGCATTGGCTCAGTTTGACACAATGTCAGCATGCATTTCTTATACCTGAGGGGCCACTGGGGAAGCAGATAATCACTGTAATAGTCAGCACCACTACAGTGATACCTGTAACCTTGATACCATTGCTGCCATTTACAGAATGTGGTTTTATGTTTTTACTTTCAGTGAATACAAGGTGTTCTCTGATTGAACAAGGTGGAGAGGAGGGGCAGTGACTTCATGATCTACACCTCATCAGATCAAAGCCTTGTATTTATTGAAAAAATACAAAGTGTTCTGTTAGTGGCAGCTCGGGACCTGAAAGATTGCGGCTGCCACTGTAGTAACGCCTACTACTGCAGTGAATGTCCGCTTCCCCAGCAGCCAGGTATGAGGTATGCATCCTTACACTGGTCCAAGCTGGAGCAATGTAAGTATGCCGTAAAGATCATACCTGGAGTTCAGCTTTATTGCAGCAAGTTATTAAATGTGTATTCTAATATAAATATTTGTTCATCTGATTGCAGCAATTGGAACTGTGTCAGCGATTGTACAAGCTTCACTTCCAGCTGCTGTTGCTTTTTCAGTCTTATTGTAAACTAATTGGGCAAATCCATGAGGTCAGCACAATGCCAGAGGTAAGTAAGCTTGCTCATTGTAATATATTTCTAAATACAAGCCCTCAATAAATTGTTTCTGGAAAAGACCAAGCACATAATCAGCATGTTTTATTGTCCAAAATATTTGTCCATGAGAAAAAGGTTATGTTCATAGACAACCTATCACCCCACATTTCGGAATTTACAGCCGTACGTAAAACTCTTTCAAAACAAATACCGTATTTTTTTGCTCCATAAGACACACCTAGGTTTTAGAGGAGGAAAACAAGAAAAAAAATATTCTGAACCAATGGACTGCAGACATAGTACAGGGGATGACCTCGGACTGCAGACATAGTACAGGGGATGACCTCAGACTGCGGACATAGTACAGGAGATGACCAGAGACTGCGGACATAGTACAGGAGATGACCAGAGACTGCGGACATAGTACAGGAGATGACCAGAGACTGCGGACATAGTACAGGAGATGACCAGAGACTGCGGACATAGTACAGGAGATGATGACCAGAGACTGCGGACATAGTACAGGAGATGACCCAGAGACTGCGGACAGTACGGGGAATGACCAAGAGACTGCGGACAGTACAGGGGATGGCCAAGAGACTGCGGACAGTACAGGGGATGGCCAGAGACTGCGGACATAGTACAGGAGATGGCCAGAGACTGCGGACACGGTACAGGAGATGACCAGAGACTGCGGACACGGTACAGGGGATGACCAGAGACTGCGGACACGGTACAGGGGATGACCAGAGACTGTGGACATAGTACAGGGGATGGCCAGAGACTGCGGACATGGTACAGGAGATGGCCAGAGACTGCGGACATAGTACAGGAGATGGCCAGAGACTGCGGACACAGTACAGGAGATGACCAGAGACTGCGGACATAGTACAGGAGATGGCCAGAGACTGCAGATATAGTACAGGAGATGATGGCCAGAGACTGTGGACAGTACAGGAGATGACCAGAGACTGCGGACACAGTACAGGGGATGACCAGAGACTGCGGACATAGTACAGGAGATGACCCAAAGACTGCTGACAGTACAGGGGATGACCAAGAGACTGCGGACAGTACAGGGGATGACCAAGAGACTGCGGACAGTACAGGGGATGACCAAGAGACTGCGGACAGTACAGGGGATGACCAAGAGACTGCGGACCTTTGGGGAGGGAGGATGAAGCTGGTACCTGAATTTGACAGGTACCCGCTCCCACTTCCGTGGGGTTGTCCTCCCTTTAGTGTGAGCACCCAGGTGCTCACTGCGCATGCGCGAGAAGCGCTGTGCTTTGTGATTGGTCCGGAGTCTTCTGGGACCTGTCATGTGTCCCAGAAGACGCTGTATCATTCACAAAGCGCAGCACTTCTCGTGCATGTGCAGTGGGCACCCGGCTGTCACAGCCCAATCCCCGGGTCTTAATCCAATAGAAAACTTGTGGGGTGACATCAAAAATTTAGTTTCTGAGGCAAAACCAAGAAATAGAGAAGAACTGTGGAATGCGGTCCAATCATCCTGGGCTGGAATACCTGTTCACAGGTGCCAAAAGTTGGTTGACTCCATGCAACACAGATGTACAGCAGTTCTCAGAAACAGTGCTTATACAACTAAATATTCATTAAGTGATTCAAAGGAAAGCAAAATCTGCAAACATTTTTCAGTTTATATAGTGAATGTTTGAGTTTGTAAAGAAGAATACAAACACTGCTATTTTTTTGAACAGTCTAATATTCACTTTTCTTCAATTTTTTTTTAGAGGAACAACACAAATTTGATATATTTTTCTTCATGTTTTGATTTGGAATAGAATGTGTAGTGTTCCCAATGCATTTGTGTGTATGGAAATAAAAGCTATTAGAAGGATTTTGAGCTTTATTCACTTTTTTCAACACACTGCTATTATTTTAAACACAACTGTATGTAGTATTTAACCTCCTAAAATATGTCTGCATCCATCAGCTCTCCACTACATCTTGCTGGCTGACAATACAGCTCATTGAGAAGAAGTTTCCCATTGAGAACAGAATTTTCTATTGCTTTATGGGATCTGTGCATTTTTCCCACTTCAGTAGCTCCTATAACATACTTCATAGAAAGAATCTAAAATTATCTAAAATTCCAGTGTCTGCATATGTACTGTGTATATAACCGCAAAGAGGCACTACAAACAGTCATTTGTAACAGAAAGGGTGAATATTTTTCTAAATGTGGCATGCATATATTTTATGTGGCTGGTTTACATAGAAATAGCACCTAGTAGTTTTGCTCATGACAGCCTGTCAGGTCTGATGGTGCAAAAAAATAAATGTACATGCTTTTGAAGGTGAAAAAATATGAATTTATTATTTTTTTTCATTGTTAGGAGCCTGTAAAGCATTGCACCCATAATCAGCAGATTGTGGGTGTAATGCCACAGTCCTACAGACTGTCTGTGTATCTGTCTGCCCATTTTTCTGATACAGGCAGGCCGTTACACTCTCACAGGAAAAATCAATGGACTACCATTGTAGCTCATTGAGAGCTACAAGTCGACATCAGCAAAGTTTGTCGACAACCAGTGAGGGGAGAAGATCCCCCACTCAATGTTAAAATGGGGACTTTGGGGGGAGTGGAGGCTTGTGCATCTGTAATATGTTACCTGAATAGGGGTGTAACGTTACACAAGGTGGACTTATCCTTTAAAGCTAGCTTCCATAGAGCTACCAATATGCATCTCATTGTACTGAGAGACGTAATCCTCTGTATCAGTTTTGAAAAAGTATTCTTCCATAAACCCTTCTCATTGTTTCCCTTACAGTTGTTAAACATGTCAAGAGAACTAAATGAGCTTAAGAAGAACCTGAAAGAGGCCAGTGTATACATTGTAGCAGAGTCTCTCAATATAGATGCCACCTCTTTTGAGCCCTCCTTCAGTTCCACTGAGTTTGCCATACAGTCCATGTTGGAATGTTTGAAGAATAATGAGCTTGGGAAAGCAATACGGCAAATTCGCCAGTGCAGGTGAGTCCAGGCATGCAAAATCAATAGAAATGTTCATCGCAACCCTTAAAAAAGGACACTGGACTAGCTTCTAATAGTGCTCTTTAGGTATATACAGTGAGGAACAGAAGTATTTGAACCCCCTGTGATTTTGCAAGTTCTCCCACTTAGAAATCATGGAGGGGTCTGAAATTCACATTGTAGGTGCATTCCCACTCTGAGAGACAGAATTAAAAAAAAATTCAGGAAATCACATTGTATGATTTTTAAATAATTTATTTGTCTTGCACTGCTGAGCATAAGTATTTGAACACCTGAGAAAATCAGTGTTAATATTTGGTACAGAAGCCTTTGTTTGCAATTACAGAGGTCAAACGGTTCCTGTAGTTCTTGACCAGGTTTGCACACACTGCAACAGGGATTTTGACCCACTCCTCCACACAGATCTCCTCTAGATCTGTCAGGTTTCGGGGCTGTTGCTAAGCAACACGGAGTTTCAGCTCCCTCCAAAGATGTTCTATTGGATTTAGGTCTGGAGACTGGCTAGGCCACTCCAGAACCTTGATATGCTTCTTACGGAGCCACTCCTTGGTTATCCTGGCTGTGTGCTTCGGGTCATTGTCATGTTGGAAGACCCAGCCACGACCCATCTTCAATGCTCTGACTGAGGGAAGGAGGTTGTTGCTCAAAATCTCACAATAAATGGCCCCATTCATCCTCTCCTTAATACAGTGCAGTCTTCCTGTCCCCTTTACAGAAAAGCACCCCCAAAGCATGATGTTACCACCCCCATGCTTCACAGTAGGGATGGTGTTCTTGGGATGCAACTCATCCTTCTTTTTCCTCCAAACACGACGAGTGAAGTCTAGACAAAAAAGTTCTACTTTGGTCTCATCTGACCACATGCCTTTCTTCCATGCCTCCTCTGGATCATCCAGGTGGTCATTGGCAAACTTCAGACGGGCCTGGACATGTGATGACTTGAGCAGGGGAACCTTCCGTGCAATGCATGATTTGAAACCATGACGGTGCAGTGTTCTACCGACAGTGACCTTTGAAACTGTGGTCCCAGCTCTCTTCATGCCATTGACCAGCTCCTCCCTTGTAGTTCTGGGCTGATTCCTCACCTTTCTTATCAGTGATACTCCACGAGGTGAGATCTTGCATGGAGCCCCAGTCCGAGGGAGACTGACAGTCGTCTTTAACCTCTTCCATTTTCTAACAATTGCTCCAACAGTTGATCTATTTTCACCAAGCTGCTTGGCAATTGCCACGTAGCCCTTTCCAGCCTTGTGGAGGTCCACAATTTTGTCTCTGGTGTCTTTTGACAGCTCTTTGGTCTTGCCCATGGTAGTAGTTGGCGTCTGACTGAGGGGTGGACAGGTGTCCTTAAAGAGCTCAGACAGGTGCTACTAAGTTTGATTAATGAGTGGAGTAGAGGTGGACTTTTTAAAGGCACAGTAACAGGTCTTTGAGAGCCAGAATTCTTGCTGTTTCTTAGGTGTTCAAATACTTATGTTCAGCCGTGCAAGACAAATAAATTCTTTAAAAATCATACAATGTGATTTCCTGAATTTTCTTTTTAATTCTGTCTCTCAGAAATCATGGAGGGGTCTGAAATTCACATTGTAGGTGCATTCCCACTCTAAGTGGGAGAACTTGCAAAATCACAGGGTGTTCAAATACTTCTGTTCCTCACTGTAAATATAACCTTATGACAATTTTACCAATATTGTAAATAACAATTTTAGCTAATATGCAAACTTTCTGATCACAAAACAATGAACCATGGTTCTGTGAGACATTCTGTTGTAGATTGTAAGAGTTTCCTGTTGGTTTAAATAGACAGGCCTTCCTAAACTGGGCCCAGAACTGGGAAACTGAGTCTGTGTTTGTTAACCCCTTGGTCACAGCACTGGCCAGGTGGCATAATTAGCAGATTTTGCTTTAAAATGTACACGGGAAACACCTGAATGTCAGAAGAGGCGTGCAAGGCTCAGGGTAGCACGAGTGCTGGGTCCTGGATGGCAGGTGGTGATCAGTAGAGATGGTCTGCAGGGATGGAGGTTGATGCAGGTAAGAGAGCACCTCACGATCAGCAGTAGTACACAGACCATGCACTGATTGTGTGGGGAATGCCAGGCAGGGTCTGGAAGGCAGATCTGGTAACCTGGTTCTGAAGGAGCAGGCAGAGAGATGTAGTCTGGAAGGTTATACGTGGTCAGACATCAAGAGCCAGGCCAGCATCGTACACTGATGAGCAGAGGTAGAAGGAGCAGAGTCTGAAGACAAGCTGGGTCAAGTACAGGAGATCAAGCTGGAGGCCAAGCAGCAAGCCAGGGTCCATGATCAGGGGATAGTCAGAGGGAAATCCAGGAACAGTCAGAGTTTGTAACAAGAAGTCGGGGCAACTTTGTAACCAGAAAGCACAGGAACAAGAATCACAGAGCTGCAGAACATCCAGCATTCAGCACGTTAGGACCTCCATTGATTGGAGAGCTTGTTGCCATTCTTGAGACTGGACGTGCGCAGGCGTGCTGATGCGTGCTGGTGCACACTAATGCGCTAGTGTGTCAGTGCATGCTGGTTACTAGCCTGAGTCCGTCTATGTACTTTCACATGCATGCGAACATTAGCTGCACAAGTACTCGTTCCCTGAGAGCAATGATGTAGAAAACTTTGAGGAATATGTAGAAGGTACTTAACCAGTTAGATTCCAGGTATCCTTTTACATGGATTAAAAATTAGAAACAAAATTATTCATAGCACAGTCTTACGTTTGGCAAGTGAGTTTGCCTGTTATACTGTAGTTGTTTCCACTTATTGAATGATGGTTTCAGAAAATTTGTGCCCACACTATCAACTGAAATAAACATATTGTTACGTGTATAAAAATGTATTGTCAGGTGTGTAAAAACTACACAGCGCATTGTGATTGTCTAAGCTAGCAGCTTGGAGAGGGATACTGTAACTGAGACGTTTTGAAGGGATAGAATGTACATAGTAAGGCATTCTGCAGAAAATGATCTGAGAACGTCCATGAAAGTACAGTGATGATGTCACCATTACTTTAACAGGGAAATATTGGCATATGCAAATCCATTTAGTACACGCAGTGGGTTTGGCCAGAATGAAACTCACTCTATGAATGGAGGACAGATGTATGAATGAAAGGTCGTCCTCCTTCATTCATAGAGAGCTTTTTATTGCAGGAAGCAGTAGTACAGTTTATGAATGGAGTATGGGGGTGGAACCACAGACAAGCACATTGGTAACTAATGTATATTTGTATTGTAGGAAACTGTGGCCTAATGACATATTTGGAAGCAGTGCTGATGATGAGGTCCAAACACTACTGAACATCTACTTCCGTCACCAAACCCTTGGACAGACTGGCACATACGCTCTTGTGGGCTCCAACCAGAACCTGACTGATATCTGCACCAAGCTTATGGACCTTAACATGGAGATCCGGGACATGATACGACGTGCCCAGAATTATCGTGTTGTTTCAACTTACCTCCCTGACTCCAGTGTCTCTGGCACTAATCTTTGACAAGAATCCTGTGCCGCTCAACTCTCCCCAGCTGGAGGTACTGCCCTGCCTGATTGACATCACTCAGTATCTACTCAGTGTTCCTATGACTCAATCACAATGTTATCATTCCTGCTGACCTCCAGCCTTACTGTCAGGCAAAGCAAGCAGGCTAGTTGGATCCGTAGCAATACTGTAAGGACAGCAAAGGTTGAAGCTGCACCACAGCGGCCCAGGACGATCTCGCTGATAGCCTGTTGCTTTAGACAGCTCTTATTATTTCAACAAAATACTTTGTCTAAAGTGACTTCCATTGTGTACCAAAGCCTACTAATCTGAACCCTACTTCCTTTCTATATTAATCCTTAATCTTAGGATGGTAAAAGTGCAATGTTTCCTTTACAGAAGAAAAAAAAATGATATATGTATAGTATATTTTTTGTTGCTCTTAATACGTTTAAAATACTTTTTAATTTCTTTTAATCAGTCCACAGGCAGAATGAGGCTGGCCGAAGAATACTGGTTATTGTGATTGGTCTATAGCTGAGAGCCTGTTCGGATGAAGGCTGATTGTATAATGAGATTGTAATTATCCTGTACACTGTCATTTTGAGAAGGAATACTGTATTAAACGCTGCTAGAACTGACATTTCCTACTGTCACTGCGCTACTGTGGCCGCGATACTGGATTATAATCTGTATCAGGATGCCCTTTTATTTTAAAAAATAACTTTTATTTTAAAAAATCTGGCTAGTTTTTATTAAAAGAAAATTTGCTTTTTGGACTATTTATACTATGACAAAGGCGGCTGATATGACGACCATATTGAAAGTGGGAGTTTAATAACTACACCTTTTTTTCATCTGTCACGCATGTTTTTTTATGTATATTTGGATGATGCAAAGTCTGAATGTCACAAAGAGGAGTTTTAAGTTCTTTTTATTTAGTAGAAGATAATTCTGATTTATTATATGCATATTATATTAATATATATATATATTGGTATAAATGTATGTTTTGTTTTTTTTCTTGGTGTTGAGTGTGAACTGAATTGCATGTAATTCTTTCGCACATTTGAGGCATTTCCATTCTTGAATAACCTATGTAATTTATTCACCTTGTACAGAAAACTTAAAGTTTTGTGATGTAATGAAGACTATTTTTGTTGAGTACACTTACTGAGACACATGATAAAGTTATTCAGTCACTACTGACAATGGAGTATCTTTTCTTTATCGGTATAGACTTGTTTCAGTTGGCCAAGTTTTTAGATTAAAATATACTTTTGGACTGCTTATGTGTTATGCTGGCAGTTCAGGATGGGTGCGAGTTGTATGGAACAAAGCTGGAATGCATGTGGGCTTCAATTATCATTGTTTTATAGTGTCTCCACAATGATTCTGAAACATTCAATTCTATTGGAGAAAGTATTTACCCTCTTGGGTGAATGTTTTAATGCCATAAATATTGAATCACAGTGGATTCAATTTATTTATTTTTCTAAAGTACCAGTAATCAATTCTCTGCAAAATAATGTATATTAAATGTAATGAAAAGTAATGTAACTTAAAGTGTTACTAATCCCACAACAGTAAAATCAGTCTGTATATGCAGTAAAGCATGCTTGGTATACTCCCTGTGTACCTAAGGGGTTAATCATCCACATTGTTAAAAAGGCTGTTTGATCCTGTCTTTTCTGATCCTCCCTTTCTTCTACTGTCCCCAATCCATCTGCTGATAGAACAGAGCCATGGGGGCAAGCTGCACATGCTCAGTTTGCTGTGTATTGACAGAGTTTTTTTTTTTTCTTGGGGGAGTGCATGTGATCAGCACAGGGTCAATCAGTGCTGTGCAGACAGAGTTTCGGGTTATGCAGCCTCATAGGACAGTCAGAGGAGAATGAAAACTCCTCCTACAAGATTTTACTAGTGCTCAACTGGACTCTGATAAAAGTCATAAGACTGCTGTAACTGCTAAAAAGGAAAAGGTATTTAGCAGTTTATATTTACTAAAATAATTGCATTTCCATGTACTGTGGGAGACCAGATATAGTGAATGCAGGGTCCTGGGTTTAGTAACACTTTAATTGTAAAGAAGTAAACACACTCTTTAATTCAATATTTAGCAGGTGCACCTTTGGCAGAAATTACAGGAGATAGGGGCCTGGGCACCACAAATTGTTGCGTCTTCCTCTGCAAGACTGCTCCAGCTATGCCGAGTCACATAGGGATTGTAAGTGTGAGCAGCCTTATTATAGTATAGCCAAAAATACTCTGATTGAGATCTGGACTCTGCCTCGGTCATTCCAGAACATTAACCACTCGGGCTCCATTCTCAAACCGCTATTTTCCTCTTTAGGATCTGAGGTATTTTTTTTAAATGTTTTCGAAATTCACAAAAGAACTCTACTAAAATAAAGCATGTGGTGTTTCATGGAAATGTGCAGTATTTATCTCATGAAACCATTTGGTATTTTATCTCATGACGTGATATCCTGTGGAATGGATAGAGTGGAGAAGGATTAGAACCCCTGTCAGGTTTTTATTGCTCTCTGTGCCCCCATTAGGAAGATTCACCCTCTCTGTTGTTACTGTTTTTTCCTCATCACTGAAAGTGAAGGGAAAAGCAATTTCCACATTTTTTTCTGGTTGACATCAAACACTAATAGTGGCGAAAATCACAATCGGACACAGATGGCAAAAAAACCCTGACAGGGGTCCTAACCCTCCATTACTCTATCCAAAATGAAAAAGAAAGTTTTCCCTTTAGTTACACTTTAATGTCATTTTTTTCTGTGATATTTGGCAAAGTCATTGCTATATCTTGGGACAGGACTGTTTTATCTTGTTAGTGCAGTGGTTCTCAACCTTTCTAATGCCGCGACCCCTTAATACAGTTTCTCATGTTGTGGTGACCCCCAACCATAAAATTATTTTCGTTGCTACTTCATAACTGTAATTTTGCAGTGGGAGGACTAGTGCCACATCATTGGTGTCAGTGGAAGGAGTAGTGCCCCATCACTGATGTCAGTGGGATGAATAGTGCCCCATCGTTGGTGTCAGTGGGGGGAATAGTGCCCCATCGTTTGTGTCAGTGGGGGGGAATAGTGCCCCATCGTTGGTGTCAGTGGGGGGAATAGTGCCCCATCGTTGGTGTCAGTGGGGGGAATAGTGCCCCATCGTTGGTGTCAGTGGGGGGAATAGTGCCCCAACATTGGTGTCAGTGGGGGGAATAGTGCCCCATCATTGGTGTCAGTGGGGGAATAGTGCCCCATCATTGGTGTCAGTGGGGGAATAGTGCCCCATCATTGGTGTCAGTGGGGGGAATAGTGCCCCATCATTGGTGTCAGTGGGGGGAATAGTGCCCCATCATTGGTGTCAGTGGGAGGAATAGTGCCCCATCATTGGTGTCAGTGGGAGGAATAGTGCCCCATCATTGGTGTCAGTGGGAGGAATAGTGCCCCATCATTGGTGTCAGTGGGGGGGAATAGTGCCCCATCATTGGTGTCAGTGGGGGGAATAGTGCCCCATCATTGGTGTCAGTGGGGGGAATAGTGCCCCATCATTGGTGTCAGTGGGGGGAATAGTGCCCCATCATTGGTGTCAGTGGGAGGAATAGTGCCCCATCATTGGTGTCAGTGGGAGGAATAGTGCCCCATCATTGATGTCAGTGTGGTGGAGGGGGGAAATAGTGCCCCATCTTTGGGGTCGGGGGGGAATAGTGCCCCATCGTTGGTGTCGGTGGGGGGAGGAATAGTGCCCCATCATTGGTGTCAGTGGGGGGAATAGTGCCCCCATCATTGGTGTCAGTGGGGGGGAATAGTGCCCCATCATTGGTGTCAGTGGGGGGAATAGTGCCCCATCATTGGTGTCAGTGGGAGGAATAGTGCCCCATCATTAGTGTCAGTGGGAAGAATAGTGCCCCATCATTGGTATCAGTGGGAGGAATAGTGCCCCATCATTGATGTCAGTGTGGTGGAGGGGAAATAGTGCCCCATCTTTGGGGTCAGGGGGGGGAATAGTGCCCTATCGTTGGTGTCGGTGGGGGGAGGAATAGTGCTCCGATCTTGGTGTCAGTGGGGGGAGGAATAGTGCCCCATCGTTGGTGTCAGTGGGGGGGAGGAAATAGTGCCCCATCGTTGGTGTCAGTGGGGGGGGAGGAATAGTGCCCCATCGTTGGTGTCAGTGCGGGGGGGGGAGGAAATAGTGCCCCATCATTGGTGTCAGTGGGAGAAATAGTGCCCCATTGTTGGTATTAGTCACACAAATGATGGGGCACTATTCCTCCCACTGACACCAATGATACTTACCTTGCTGACCCCTGCTCCAGCCCCGATGGGCTCGCTCTCTCACTTACCTGTCAGCTGTCTTCCTTCTCTGGCCGCTCTCCTCTTCACTTACTCCGGCAGTTCCCTCGATCTTCTTAGATCTACGCGCGCTGCCGCTCGGCTCCTCCTCTCCAAGCTCCACCTCCTCGCCGGTGATTGGCCGCCTGTGTGCCTCTCCTGAGCTACAGTTCCGGTTGCCAATCAGCGGCGAGGAGGCGGAGTTGTTGAGGGATCCCGGAGGTGTGGCCAGGTGACAGGGCAGCGTGTCATCCCGCCCACACATCGACTGAGTCAGAGGAGCGGTGTCTCGGTTCCTAAGACCATCGGAAATATGTGTTTTCCGATGGTCTTAGGCGACCCCTGGGAAATGGTCGTTCGACCCCCAAAGGGGTCGCGACCCCCAGGTTGAGAACCGCTGTGTTAGAGGACAGCTATTGTCATTGTCTGATGTTCTTGAGAGTGTCAGTCTGGTATCTAGCTCTCCAACCTTCCAGTTGATGACACCCCTTTCCTAACACCTCAAGGTCCTCGCCTTTGTAAGAATACTTGTCTTTTCCTAAACCCGATTCTCTCTTCAGAATATTTGCACCATAGTGATCTCTAAAAATAATTGTGAAAAAGTAAAGTATCCCCAGTACATATAACGTATGTTCTATCAAGGGATTAGACCATTGTGATATGCATGTACATTGT